ATAAGTTACTTATTTTATGAATATATTAATAATTTCTCCATAGTAATATTTTCTTGATCTCAGCATTATTATTTTATAAAGGTTTCACAATATACAAATATCTAAGACACATACATATTTTATTTATAAAAATGTATAAAACATGACAAATTTAGTGTCTTTTCTAGGAGATTATGTCCAACCCTCTTTCCAAATGGACATAAGTCAAGCTTCCAATAACAATTTCATGTGAAGGTCATTTTCTATGTCTGCAATATCTAGCATAAAATCATTCATCTATCCAATGTTACTGCTGCTGAGTTATACTAATAATCTTTCAGTACTGATTGATTCGATGTTAAACCAAGTGGGTAGATCAATGTTATAATCTACTGTATTATCTTACAAATAATTTGGACACTTGGCAATTGTCACGCCAAAGGCGTCATCTGTCATTATTATACTTTAGTTATACATGATGGTATATTTGATACGTTAAACACCTTAAAATCATTGGACAGACGTTACAAGAAAGAACGAAAAGAAAAAAAAATTTACCATGTATTTGAACTTCAGAAAAAACTGCCATCATGAAAACTATAATTGACAAGAATAGTTTTTCCGTGTTAAATCAATTTCTTTTGCAACCACTAAAATTAAGAAAATCATATAAGAGTTATCAAATATCTTATGCAGTCTTGGTATGATGTAATACTATATTCATTGTGATAACGATAAGTCAGATAAGCTTCAGCACAGGAAGAGTTATTAACGGCAAACATAAGTAAGAACACACGTGCAAGTTTTGAGGTTTAATGAAGTATAGACAATAAAAAGGATAATTGTTTCGATGAAAAGCAACTGATTGGTATGTGTAGCCATCAGCGAGGACGGCAAGCACAAAAGTTATTTACCAATGCAAGAATGCTGAAAGGAGACAAACTCGACTTGGAGCTCTCATACAGGATACTAATCTTTTGTGATTACAACCATTTTTGGAGAATGGTGAGCTTGCTCACACAACTAATCTCTGGTGACTACAATCATTTATCGAATAAGGAAAAGCGAGGAAGCTTATCCTTTTTCATTTTTTGATGATGTAATGGATAAAATTCTATGCAAGTACAATATTATATGAATGCGATGAAGAATGAGACATGTCTTGTTTTACCCCCCTTTTTCTTTTTCTTTTTCTTATTAGAGAAAAATATTAAAATCTTTTCATAAGAAGTTATGAGTTGGGACATAGCCATACCAAAACACAGAACTCAAACATGAGAACATATATTTGTGAATTCCATCTGCTTGAAATATTAATTGAATATTTGTATTTTTTTGTTGTTGGCATACTTCTTTATATACTTCTTTATATGTTTCATTTACTAAAGGTGTCTTATATTGTGTTGTCTAATTACTAGACACATTCTACTGTCTAATGATAGATACATAAATAGACAAATGAATTATTTGATTATTTGGTAATCATGGATCAAACATAGACAAGTTGTCTTTTCAGTACTGGCATTATGCTAACCTTATTTCAATGTTCACTGATTCTATTCACACATTGACAAAAATGTACATATATACAATAAATAAAAAAAGAAAAAATTGCAGAATCTAATGTCTCTTTCTATATATTTCCCTGTGATCTCGAGTAAAATTCATTCTTAAATAAGTTATATGACAGCATGAATCAAATTAATTATTGATTACAAGTGAACTACATAGCAAGTGGTCATGGCACCGATTGAAGACAACTCAACAAGGTACTGGAAACACAGATAGTCTTAAAGAGACTCTAATTCTTAAGAATTGATCTCCATAGTAAATAGAAGGAGAGTACACAGAAGTAGTGTGGCCTATTATAATCGTTAGTAATGTAGTTGACTGAATCTTTTAGTAGACGTAATAATGAATCCAAAAAATTGACGAGGAAAAGTCATATAGTTGACATTAAATTTATTGAGAATAAGAATTTAATTTCAATACGTAGTACTAAACATGAAAAATGTAACACTTTTCCATGTTTTTGAATGATATCTAGTAACCAATATTTTGATCTATGGTTTAGGGTTTAATTAAAATTTGAAATTGAATTTTTCCTAACCCACCTTTCTAATTAATAATTCATCCTATAATTGGTCCACGACTAGACATCATCTGTGACATCATGCTGTCCAAAGGTTAAACTGAGAAATATCTTGTACAGTTATCTTTTAATATTGTTTGGTTATATTCCATCGAACACAATACACTTGTTACAGTTACTTTTAAAATAAAGTTGTGCATAAAATTATAGTCTTTCCTTCCACTATTTCTATAATAGAAAAAGAAATAAAGGTACCAAGAAAAAATAATCTTAAAATAAAAAACACCATTGAGAGTGGCAAATGATACAATGTTAGAAATATAGAGCAAAAGATGAACAACATTCATAGATAGCTATTGTCGAAAATCATGTTCCACTATACATTTAAATAGCAATGCTATGCGACAAAACCTATATGGACCCTTTGAGCAGAAGAAACACAAAAAAATATACTGTAGAGAGAGATACATCCCACCTCCAACACAGCCCAATATCTCATCCTTAGGATGGGCAACAATGCCCTCTAATTCATGGGATGTTGACTAGGTTTTTTCATATTTAATTATATTATATAACGTTAAAATATAATTTTTTTAAATACTATTTATATTATGGGTGTTAGGAGAAGGATAGTTATATCAATTCGGTATATAAAATATGGACGATTTTTATAACGATGAAATTTATCTTTTATGGAATTGATCTCCTTTGATTGGTATGTTATCGGCCATACAAGTTGCGAGAACTATGCAAGTTGCACATAACATTTTTTCATGAAGTGCAGCAATGATCTTGGTACGTCTTCATTTAAATTAATGAACAAGATGGAAATAGAAACGACTCTACACAAACATTGGTTGTGTCTGAACGGATAAAGAGAGGTGACTGATGAATTATGCGGCTGAACTTCAGTTTAAAATTCGAAAACTTTAGTGAGAAATTGACCAAACATGCAATAAATTGGCATGACAATAATGTAGATGGTAGGTTAACAACAGTAGACCATATGCTATGAAGAAATTAGAACAGGCTATTGGAAGACAGCAATCAAGAAATCTATCCCAGAAAATAAAAATGTCTCTTCATGAGAGGGCAGTTTGCAATATTGTAGCTTTGATGAGAACTCAGTAGTGAGAAAAAAAAAGTGTTCCTTTGGTTTAGGAAGTTTATTTAATATTACTATTGTCGAATTTCGTCTCTATTTGACCAATCATTTTATTTTCCATCTAAGTGTTTTTTTTTTTTTTTTTTTTTATTGGATTTTTTTTTTTTTTTGCAATGGAGTCGAACATCCATAGGGATATAAAACATTAAACGAGTCCCGGAACCATAGCATTCAACAGGATTCAAAATGCCTCCCATGCATCTAACCGGCACATGTGATTCATGCGTTCCACCGACAACTCTCATTTGTTGAAGCGGAGCATAGTGCGCTTTAATTTCAAAGCAATAAATTTCACTTCTTTTGTTTGGGTTATTCACACATGGGATTGACGTTTGATCAGTGCTAGAGTCAAGAAAGTTGGCAACCTATCATAATTAATTGATGACCAATGTCTATGTAAATGAAAACGTTAACTATAGCAAATTTAAGGTAGTGCCAGCAGGAAATGATAGAAAATAGGATAATATGAGCTTTGTAATGAATTGAAAGAAAAAAATGATATCCCAAATGAATTTCAAGACTTGATGTTACAGTTTAACTAAACTAAACATAGATTGCATTCAAGTACAACTTTATAATTTATTGCATTTATTCCAACAATTGCATAATGCTAATGGAATTGGATGAAACATTGTAGTCATCGTCAACATGAATAGATCAAATTCATCACCATGTAAAGGTGATTCCATTTGGGGGAAGGGAGAATTTTCTTGTATTATTGCACCAACTACTCACAACTTTTTCACAATTTCAATTTGACAAATTATTGCCTACACTCACAAAGTGTAAACGTGGGTTTGGATGGCCAAGATCGGAACAACTCGATGAAGCCTATGTTTGGTAGTATTTTTAAGCACTTATGAATTTTGAGTAATGTGTAGATGTATATTTTATCAGTTTAAATTAAAATTTAAGCTTTGCCAAACAAGCACATAGTTTCATAACAGGTCAAGTTATATGCCGATTCGCATGTGAAGGCAGATGGTGGTGAGACCTGCTTTTAAATTTATTTATTTTCGTAAAATAACTTTTCATTTACTTTATAATTATTCCCACAAAAATTACGTTTCCATGACAGTTTATTTAACATATTCCACAATTGCATTTGATATTAGTGTTTTTTCATGCTGGTTTAGACAAATATTTTCTTCATCAAATGTGGGTAAACATCGTGTTCAGTTAATTAATTAAGAGCATTTGTTAACAAAATAAAATAATTTCAAGTTGACTAAACTACTCAACACTCTATAGTTTAAGACATTGAAAAAGCATAGGCACGTGAGTCACGTGACAAAGATTTTTGTGAGATATAGGTACAATATTTTCAACGATTGTACAATATAAGATAGAAAAATTCATACTAGAATGATTATCGTAATATTTTTTCTCCCGCAATTTTATATATGCCATAGTGCATGGTGAGTACACAAGATTCTCTTTCGTGGTTTAACAATTTGTATCGATTAAACAAATTATTAAAAATTTTCAAGTGATACACTCTCGTAAAATAGTATATTCTCTATGCTGATCAACAATTATTACAATAACAGTTAATTTTTTACTAAATATATAATTTTATTAAGATAAATATTTGCGCGGTAATTATCTTTTCAACGTAACTGCATTTCTTTACTAAAGACGACCATTTCAAATCTTTGAATTTAGTGAAGTCTCTTTATTATATTTTCTTTATAATTAACGAAAAAGAATGTGGAAAAGAAAATTAAAATAAAAAACAAAAATTTGTTATAAATCCAAAGAAAACAAACACAAAGAAAAACCTAAAGATACACAGTCCACTCTCTCTTCAGACTCTTTTCTCCAAGACATTATTTTGGAATCTTCGGCAAATCTCCGGCGAATCTTTGGAACCAAAAGAACATAAGGATGATCAGCAAAGAATGATCGGGGATCGCATTCGCCATGTCAGATTCGTGCTCCGACTGCTTCTCCGACCTTCTCTGCGGCGAGGACTCCAGTATTATCTTCTCCAGTGGCGGAGAACACCTGCCGGAGTGCTCATCGGACCTGGATTACCCACAACCGGACGTCGAGGAATCGATTGCCGGACTCATAGAGAATGAGAGAGATTTCATGGTTCCGTGCAGCGATTATATGGAAAAGTCCCATTCAAATCAATATATTGATGCATCAACTAGAGCAGATTCTGTTGCATGGATTCTGAAGGTATCGTTCCTCAGATTCCGACTGGATTAATCGTTTTCGTTATCATGCACATGTGGCGCAAAGCGCTTTCTACACCTATAAAACGATTCAAATATAAATTGGTTTGACAATAATGGCACGGCCCACGTTATCAAGTTCACGGAACGCCGGTGAGTAATAATAGAGATCATTTATGTTTATCTATTTATCCTCATAGGCGCATTTTAATATGGCGGACTGTTCTAGAATGTGCCGTAGTGGGCGAAAATGAACTGTTCTTCGTGTTCGTGAGTATCAGCGATGAAACAGTGATTTCGAAGAATTGAATGTGCGTTTTTTTGTGCAGGTGAAACGTTACTATGGTTTTCAGCCGTTAACGGCTTATCTCTCCGTCAACTATTTTGATCGTTTTCTATACTCCCATCAGTTGAGGGTAAAGTTCCCGTCACTATTGATTGTATTACTTTTAAGTGACTTATTTTGTTAAAAAGTACTTTTCATAGTAATAAAATTATAAGTGCTTTTGCATAAGTTTCACTTAATTACGTCCTTTGTTTTGTTGCTATAAAGTCTCTCTTTTACATTATCTTGTCAAAGACAAATGAAAAGTACCTTAATAGTATGTTAATGTAATTTAGTAATTAAGTACTGTAATTATATTTTGTTTTAAGCAATAATTGATATAGTTTTTCCGAAAAAATTATGACGATTTATAATTTTTTAACTTTTATAAGAATGGAGTAAGTGCAATTAAAGATTCCTTAATTTAATTTAATTTAAAAAATAATTATCTCCTAAAAGTATATGACAGTAAGGTTCGCTTGTCTTTTTTGATACTTGGGAATTAATGAATTCAAATGGTATCATTTTTATTAAATTAATGCTTATTATTATTTTTATTATTATAATAATTAAATAATTATTTTTCACATTTCCTTTGAATAATTGCAGAAAATGAATGGGTGGCCAGTGCAATTATTGACCGTTGCATGCTTGTCATTAGCTGCTAAAGTGGAGGAACCTCTGGTTCCTTCTCTTCTGGATCTTCAGGTGATTTTTAAATTTATAGAATTTTTATGCTTATATAATTTCTTATTTTCTGAATTAATCAACTTTTAATTAGGTTGAAGGTGCAAAATTTATTTTTGAACCAAGAAATATCCAACGAATGGAGCTTCTTGTGCTACGTGTACTGGGTTGGAGGCTGCAATCCATTTCTCCATTCAGCTTTCTCAGCTTTTTTGCCCACAAAATTGATCCAACAGGAACTTACACGGGATTCCTTACATCAAGGGCAACTGAAATTATTTTGTCAATTATCCAAGGTATTGTAATTAGACATGTTTGATCTGCAACTAGAGGATTTTTAATTGTTTTTAAAAGCTATTTTTCAAGAAAATAACTTCCAACTTTAAAAGTAACCTTAAAGATCATAACTAAACACACTCTACATACAAGAGTGAAAATACGAGTATCTATGAAAATGTACACATGCGTCTAATTCCATCATACAGATTTGATCTCCTGATCACAGTGGACATGATACACTTTGCCCACCGTCGACGTGACGAAGTAGCTTTTTTAGACAAACAAAAAGGAAAAGGTTTTAACCCATTGACATGGCAATGTCACATCGAGGGATGGGCAACATAACTCCTACGCATTGTGTGCTAGAGATCAATTCTATACCATCATAAATAATAACATCTTGAAGTTGAAAAATGGAAATTTTATGTTAGTTATTGCATTTTCATTTTATTCAACAGAGACCAGCTTCCTTGAGTATAGGCCATCATGCATTGCTGCTGCAACAATACTTTGTGCAGCAAATGACCTCCCACATTTCTCTTTAGTTACCGCTCAACATGCTGAGTCGTGGTGTGATGGACTCCACAAAGTAAGAAAGATAACCACACTTTAATTAGCGAAAATGCACTAGCTATGTTAATTTAGGTGGAAAAAATATGATTTTTCTTTTGGCAGGACAAAATCATCAATTGCCACCGATTGATGCGACAATACACGTTTACTGATAGGCCAAGGAAGCAACCAAAAGTGTTACCTCAGCTTCGAGTCATGACTCGGGCAAGTATCACGTGGAGCGACTCCTCATCCTTATCCTCCTCATCCTCATCATCTTGTAAACGAAGAAAGTTAAACAATAGTTTGTGGGTGGATAATGACAAACAAAGCTCGGATTAAAGGCAGGAGGGTTTTAAAATAAGAGAAGAAACAAAAAAATCTAAAAGAAAATGGTTTGTTAATTTAAAAGTTGTCTAAGTCTTGAATCTTGATTTTTTTTTTTTTTGGATGGACTGAGATAAAAAAAAAAAAAAAAAGAAATGATAAAGAGTGATGTAGATAAGGTAGTAGGTATAATGTATGTACAAAGGTTTGGGAGACTATTATAAACTTTTTTGGTGGGCATTGCCATTCATGAATATTTATGAATTGGCCTTGCTGATTCCCTAGGGAAGGGGATTTGGTACATATATATTATTTTGGAGTGAAGAAATTGTTTAATATCTAGTGGAGTCATATGCAATGAAAGTGGGGAGTGACAGAATTCAAAGGCAACATTAATTGATTATCGAATGAATGGAGAAGGGACTGTGGGACCTAAAATGGCAGTGAAAATCAATGGAATTGGCGAAAGACTTTGGGTTTAGAAGTTGATGAAATATGAGTCAAGCTACTCTACTATGCCACCATCATTGCATCAGCCACCCCCTACATATTTCAAGAAGTCATGAAGAAATTATAGAAAGCAGTGAAGAAAAAAGATTCATGGCTCCATCAGGACTTTTTTCTTTTTCTTTCATCATTTTTTTTTTTTTTTGGGATGGATTTTGAGTGATTTGTCTGTACACGCTTACACTATATCCTGCACGTGTGCCTTTTTCTTTTTCCGCGGGAAGTGTCCATTTCTTGGTTGTCCTAACGATTTTGTGGGACGTTATTTTGAGTGGTGTTTTGTGTGTGTAACGGATACATGTCGGTATTCTTTTTCTCTAAATTTTTGTTTTCTCATATATTTTTTTTATGGCCTAAAGTTTGCCAAAATTTACAGAGGTCTTTGGGGCCTTGTTTGGTGAGTGATGTATTTGGAATAAATAAAATGAGAAATTATTTATATAGATTTTATTACTTCCAACCCCAACCCCACCCCATGAAAATACAGGGTCTGTGCCATGCATGTGATTGACAACGAGATTTTGTAGCTTTGCAATTTGTTTTATTTATTACTGGGAAAACTTTATAAGAAGAAAGGTGGAATTTTGTGAATCATTGGGGGTGTGGACTAGGAATTGGTCCCCCAAGCATTTAAAAAGAGTGATTTAAGAATATGACTCCTTAAACAGTACAATCTCGTGAATGGGGCCATATTTGCTCTCTTATCTTCCCCTAATTTCAGACATGAGAGCCACCTTTCTATGCTACTGTTTGGGATTCATTTCATTATGTTAAAATTTTATTTTTCAAAAAATAAGTGATGGAAAAAGTGAATAGTTTTATAAATTATATGAAATGTATGATTGATGTTAATGTTAATTTTTGACTTTGAAAAATATTTTTTAGCAAAATAAAATGAAATCCAGGGGCTAAATAAATAGTTAAAATTCAAATGGTGTTAAAATTGAAATTAAATTTAAAAAAATAATATTGTTATTCATCTTCAATGATGTTCAAAGTTTGTCTATGTAACAGTAGAGCTACTATCTCATTGTTCAATGAATCAAAACGCATTTCAATTTCATTGATCAATGTAACAAACTCTACTAAAGAAGCATTTCATAGGTATATTTTCTCATAATAGTTACTGGTTGTCAATGACAAGAAATGATTTGTAACTATGCATAGATAGTTGTTTTCAGATGTAATCACAAAATAGTGGGTAAATTTTTTCCCTCTAGCGAAAATTCGTTTGAAAAGTCGTTGAAAGACTATCATTGTTGCCTTTTGAATTAAGTATGGCGCCATTTTAAGATCGAAAGCATCATTGTTCATTGAAAATGTTGATTTGGTATATAAAATGCTGTTTTGTGTCTTTCTTTTGGCTTGATCCCGAATTGTCAAAATCCTGCTTTCAAGTCAAACTTAAAAAATGATCTTTGCCTTGACTAAGTTTGCAGTAAAAGGAAGAATTGAAAATTTTAAATTTCACCTCATCGGTCATAAGTTTCTAGTTGAAATGAACATGATGGCATTCCTCAACTGCTCGACTTTAAATAGAATCAGATCGCAAAGTCACAGCTCTAGTGTACATGACAACTTCAGTCATGCCTAGTACTGTTCATCAATGTATTTTAAAATTCTTAAACTTTCATATAACAACGTCAAATCTAAAATAGAAAAGGACGGTGGAAATGAAGTTGATGTTTCCACATCCCGACATAAAAACATGGACATTGGCCTATATATATATATATGATATAATTCAGACAGAACTTCCATTAGTCAGGGACTAATTCTATCCCAACAAACCATACATGTACTAAATAGTAAGTACTAATAATGGAGAAATCCTCAAATCATATTTCACGTACCTTGAAACATCAAACAGCTGGTTTAATGGTCCACAATGAAGAAAAAACAACTAGGTTCTAGTAAAGTCATTCATTATTACCTTGTTGGAATGGCATCTAAATATCAGTTTCCAGACCCCAAAAAAAAAAAAAAAAACAAAAACAAAAATTTTATTAATTTGGGAGTAGTGGAATTTATCCACATGTCAATCCTGAATTCATTATCTAAATACAATTCTTTTATTGATATATTGAAAAAGTACGAACAAAACCTCACATAGGTTAGACATGAAATAAATAATGGAAAACTACGAACAAAATCTCACATCTTTAAAGACTATTCCACCAAATGATAAAATTTGTGAATAAGTTTTGAGAACAAGTTTGAGCATATCTGCTTAAAATTCTATGATTGATATTAATTTGGGGACAACTTGGGATTGAGATAATCGACACGGATATGGACAAGCCTTTTTAAAATTGTTCCACTTTATAGAATCCTTTTTCCCATAATTAATCCAATTTTATCTAAATTAATCGTGGATTACAATACTTAGCAGTTCTATTATCGATAGTTCAGTTATATTGTTAATTTTTGTGCATTTCACTTGTGGACTAAGATTCAAAACACAAGATGATAATCACTTATTTTCATTTGAAAATAAGCACTCGTTGATTCAATTTAAATAAAATAAAAATAAACCTTGCACAGAGCAAGTGCTTGTGGACAGTAAATCTTTGTTTGTGAAGTGGACGTGACGGAGTATTTTATATATTGTTAAGAAAATGAAGCTACAAAATAAAAAAATAAGAAAAATTTAGAGAGAAAACACAAATTTATTAAGCACTATATTATTAAGTCCTCATAAGAGGAATAATCAATTCACGTCTTTTTCCCTATCTCTCTCTCTTTTTTTTCTCTCTTCTTTTCACTTTACCTTTCGGCCGTGTGCATATTTGCATATAAATCACCTATTCAGTTTGGTAAAGTATTTGATAATCTTTTTCATTTCCTTGATATGCACCAAGATCTCATCTTACCTTTTATACAAATATTTTCCTTACTTTTTTGCCATGCGTAAGTTTGTCCTTCCCTTATTTCCTTACAAAATAGTTAATTTTGAGTCAATATCTCGTCATACAAAATGTAAGTTCTTATCTATGCAGTAGAGGGCACATGGTATTCTATTCGATTTACTATAATATTGATCTATCTAAATTTGATGTAGTAAGACAATGTGTCCTTAGAAGTTAGAGCGCAATAGCATTATATATTATATATAAAGATTGATGTTATAATTTGTTGAAAAAAATCTATATCTTAAACTATTCCCATTAAACAATAAAAACATTATGTAGATATAAATACTCATAATCCCTTTCATAAGGGTCAAAAAGTTGTAACATTTGCCTAACTAAAAGTAATAATATAGCTAAGAAAATGGACTTTGAAAAATGTATTGAGTAGGTGGCTGTAGCTATAGCAATGTGGTCCTAATCCTAAATGGCTCAATGAATGCAAAATAGATAAAATCAATAAGAATTTGGGGATTGTATCACGAATAGATTTCCACTAAATTGCCCATTCATTGGTGCCACACACCAAAAAATAATAATAATAATTTAAAAATCATGAGATTGCTAGATGGTTGATTGCACTTCCTATAATTAAGACATAATAGGTGAATAGGATTCATGACAATTTTTTAATTAATATAATTCCTAGTCTTGAAGATAAAGTATAGTTAAATAAGATCTTCCACAATTTCTATGCCATATTCGATAAAATAAATTGGAGAGATTAAACTAGCATTGACGAAAGAAAAAAGAAGCCTACATCTTCATCATGTTTGGATAAGCTCAAAGGCTATTAGCGCATGTTTGGTAAATAATACTGAAATTTGATAAAATAACAAACAAGGAGTATTTGTTAAATGGAAAAAAACTAGGCTTCTTTTGAGGAGCCTTTAACATAATGTTAGAACAAACTACATGAATATTAGTCTACGCGTAAGAGAATATGTTCATGCTAATATATCGACTCTTGCTTAATTCAATTTATAACAACTTAAACTTTAATATGAAATGATTTAAATAACAAATAAAATGAAAAACTTAGAATAAAATACTTTAAAGGAAATATGCCCCCAACTCCCAAAGGAAAAAATGGGGGGAAAAAAGATTACTTTCAATGGACAAAATAAAAAAATAAAAAGGAAAGGTAGAGGAGTGACAAAATGGCTTAGGGTTTTTGTTTTTATTTATTTATTTATTTTCCGTTCATCTTGTACATGAAGTCTCATATTCTTTGATTTTGAAGTGAATGGTTGTTATAGAGAATCCAAAGTACGATTCCCTAAAAGCCAAAAATACTTTTTCCTCTCCCAATGAAATGGAGGGTTTGTAGGGGCTTAGGAAACGCTCTCCACACACGCTTTTGTGATAAAATTTTCAACTTTATTTGGCCAAAGAGGACCCTTAAAATTTAGCTTTTCACCCTTTTTTTTTCTTTGGAGATGTAAAAACATGCTATTGGGGTTCCTGTAAAGTTGTAATATTGGACCCTGCAAAAATAAAGTTTCAAAAGTTAGAATGATTCCCACAGTTTGCACATATATCTGTGATTTTATGCTGAATGCAAGAAATCAGCTGTTCAAATTCATGGGGCCATTTCATGTTGAATTTCAGTGGAAAAAATGATAAAACAAAAACCAAAAATCTGTTTTGTCTCATTGAAATTGCATTTTTTTTCTAGGTTCAGTCTAAAGGTGAAGAGAAAAGTAATGGTGAAATTTTCCTTCATATTGCATTAATTTAGCAGTTGCTAGCAACATTTTCTAAGTTAGGTTTGAATTTTGAGTGGAGTGGTGGAAAAAGATTATATGGCAAACCCTATATTTATAGGAGACGAGACTTATTTCATGATGGTTGAACAACGGTTTTGTCAATGAGGCCTTTTTCACTAAAAAGTGAAACCTCGAGGAGTTTAATATGCTATAATTTGAAGATAACAGTAGTAATTTATGCAACTATATCAGCGTTCTAAAAAGCTTAAAGCGTGGAGGTCCAATTTCAAACTTTACAAGTCTAAGTGAGCTTAGGCGAGGCCTAAGGATAAAAAATAATATATACAAAACATCTAAAAATATGAAATGCTATATTTACTTAATAACTTTTACAAATAGTGAATTATATAATTTTCAAAGGAAAAATTTTAAACTAAAGTCAAATAAAAAGCTTTTTGAAAACAGAAAAAAAGAGCAATTAGTCGCACCTAGTCACGCATTAACTGGCCAACTTGACAGTTAACGACTTAATTTCACATTTACTGTCAAGGTGTATTGTTTCGTCCACACTTCATGCCTAAGCCCCTTTTTTAGAATACTGTATGATACTCACTAGTAAATATTACCTTCCATTTGACATGATTTAACATCTAAGACTCAAAAAGAGATGTGCATGTAAAATATTTGTCCATTATTTCGTCCTATATTCTCCAATTTAATACACTAAACACGTAGTGCATAGATATTCTTGTGGCAAATAATATATTTAGCCTAGAGAGGGGTAAATAGTAAGTCAATTATAATTTAGATACTACAAAAATATCTAGATTCAATTTGAAACTAACATGTGATATGCATTGCTATGAGATGTTAAAAGACGTGTTTTAGCAGAAAGAGGTGCCCTATTTTCCTCTTTCCAACTCACATTTCTCTCTTTGGATTCCTAGAAATCAATGGGATATATATATATATATATATATATATATATATATTATTGCGGAAATTTGATTAAGTCCTTGTTTGACAACTTTTTTTTTTTTTTTTTTTTTCCCTCATAATCATTTTTAATCATAAATTCTCACAATGAAATATTCTTTACGTAAATCAAAAACTTTTTTCTACTATATAACCACATATTCTCCAAAAATTTACTATTCAAAAATTCATTCTTTCCAAAAAACGGTTGTCAAACACGGGCTTATTAGCTCGAAGATGATATTGTCTTGGACTTGTTAGATAATAGAGATTACTTGATAAGTAACAATACTATAAAAATAAAAAATAAAAAAACTGAAGAATAAAATATTTGGATTATGATAGAGACTCTCGAACATGAACGGAATAACTATTATAAATATTTCCCAACCCAAATTGTCCCTCGGTTCATTTTCTTTCTTATTATTGGGTAACCTTTGTATAGTTTTTTGCGTACTTGAGAAAAAGGGGGTAAAAAAGAAAAAGAAAAAGGTTACTTTGTTTAGATGAAGTTTCTAGTTATTGAACTTTATTTTCATTAGAAAGTGATTATTAAAGTTAGCATTATGCTTTAGTCGATAGAAAGTGATTATTAAAGTTAGCATTTTGCTTTAGTTTGATCGTATGGTTAAATTTCGTTAGTCTAACATGAAAATCATCTATGTTATTGCCATTTTAAGCATTGAAATGCTATGAAAACTAACTGATAGTGACAAAATAAAAAAAAAAAAAAAAAGGTAAACTTCAATGATACTTTAGAACAAAAATGAAGTTTGGGGACTTGTATGAAACATTTCTGTAAGTAATGTGCCTAAAATTGTTTCCAAATTAAAAGATAAAGTCTATGAAAGAGTTTCAAAATGTTTAATTCAGCCCATTTAGTGCTATTTTTGTAATATGTCAATTTCGAAATAACAAACACTTCAAATTGCCCAACAACGGACTGGGCCAATGGCCCAGTTATTTCACCCTCTATACCAGGCGCACACATGGCCAGGGGCGGAGCCACCTTACGTCCAGTGCGGGCAGATGCCCGCACTGGATTTTTGGGCAAAAAAAAAAAAAAAAAAAAAATTTTTTTTTTATTATTATTTTTTTTTTAAGGTTTCTTTGTTTGTTTAACCAAGTAACTCAATTCTCGATCTAGCATAGAGAGAGAAGCCCAATTGTGCAAGGTCATGACCCGTTTTAGACCCATTCATATCAAAATTCAATTGAATCAATTGTTGACCCAAACGCATTCATTCATTTCAAAATTTCTACCCTTTATGACTTTGTCTGTGACGATTTCACACTTCGCCACCCACTTCCCTCTCCGCTGGTGACAAAGCCCGCTGTTCCCTTCCCTCTCCGTCAACCGTCGTCTTCGACAGTCGTCACAGTACAATCGTCGTTCCCTTTCCCTCTCCGACAGTTCATTATTGTATATCTCATACTCTAGGCTCTCATCTTGACATCTCACATCTCTGACTCCGACTTTACATCCTCAGCTCCGCCAAGGCACCAAGTGCCAACGCCAACCAGTCGAGCCGACAAAATAAGAAGCCAGATTCCAGAAAGCAAAAGGCGAATCCCCAAATTTTTTTCCCTTATTTTTTTTTTGGTTATTTCAATTTGTGTAAATTGTAATAATTTTTTTTTTGTTTTTTGTTTTTAACATATTAAATTAGCACTTTGTTCTTTAATGGCTCGAAACGGCACAAACTTCCAGTGGACCACCAGTTCATTGTTGCCTCTGGGCTCTGACTCTCTGGGAATCTGTGATTGCAAGTTCAAGTTGCCAAGTATTTGGAAATAGTATATATTGCATTGTGAGATTGTGAATTGATTTTGTGAAATTGTGAATTGCACTAGTTTTTTGAGTTGCTTCCAGTATTTGTGATTCATTTGACATCTCGAATTACTCCCACTCCTAGTAGTAATTGGGTGATCAGTGAATGAATGATAGCACAATTGTTTATGTGGAGAAAGATATATTTTTCAGGTTCAATAATGAAGTTATTATGCAATGATATCAAAGTATGAAAACTCGCAAAAAACAAGTGTAATATATAAATTATGTCGTTTTTAGTATTGATGTACTATTGTTTTATTTTTTTATCGTCATTAAATCCCCGACCAAAACCTCGACATTCGTCGTCAAAAAATTTTGCCCGCACTGAACTAAAATCCTGGCTCCGCCCCTGCACATGGCGTACGTTAGTGTCCACTGGATATGGCGTCACTTTGCACCGTCATTCCGGCCACCCTCTTCCTCCAACCTATGGCTGTTCCCGCCAAAAACCCTAACGTTCATGGCACTATTCTGCGCGCCCGTCGACTCTTAATCCCAGCAAAAACATTTTCAAGGGCTCTTAATGCAACACAACCTCAGAAATACACCTATCCTGAACCCATCCCAGAATTTGCGGCAGCTGTAAGTCAAAAATTACTCAAGATAGTATTTTTAAATTGTAAATAATGTTCTAGTGATTTTTCATTTTTGTTTTTGTGGAAATATGTAGGAAACCCGGAAATTTAAAGCTGAGTTATTGAAGAAACTGTCCAAGGAAAAAGAAACTTTTGGGAATGACCTTCAAACTGTTGTCAACGTCTGTTCAGAGGTAATTATTGAGATTTGTTTTTACTTTGCTTAAACAGAAGCCATGTTTGGTTTGCAGCAATCGACTGTGCTACTAACAAGATTTTCTTTTTCCTCGTACGGAATCCTTTCGCTGTAGCTGGTGTCGTAGTGAACTTAGAAGTACCTTTTTTTTTTCCTCGCTATTTAGAGCCATTATAATAGAAAGGGTTGTATCATGTCGGAAGTCAGTTCTGTTTAGTAAGACTTTACATAGGTGTGATTTTTTTTTTTTTTTTTTTTTTTTCACTGGGATTCAATATTTTGATTAGATTACAGCATTAAAATTGCAAGCTGAAGTTGAATTAAGAGTATAGATTATTGGGATCAAGCAAATCAGGCTATCACGCATAGAATAGCTAATGGTTGTCCATGTAGGACCTTACAGTAATGTCTATATTTGAGTTGCAGTAGACAATGGGAAGAAAGCAACTCATAACTCAGTTGAAATTATCATGTAAGTGGACGATGATAGACAATTTTACATTAAGAATATTGGATTCTTTCAAGGAGTGGAGAATGATTCGAATAAATAATCTCAAATGCAATGAAACTGGTAGAAATGTAAGCTCACTGCATTTTTTTTGTGCTTTTATAACTCAATTTTGATTAGGCTTCATTATGTATAGCTAGAATTTACTTGCAATTAAAATGTACATTACTGGTCTTGATATTGCTGTTTGGTAATCTTGATAGCATTGTCCTTTGAATGGCTGACTAAAATGTATGATTTAATGCATTAAAAATCCCTTGAGTTCATTGAGAGGAGCTCTAATTGTCTATTTGGGGTTATTAACATATGGAATAGTGTAAAATGATGCTTCTATTTTATTCTCAATGCTAAGGCATGCCCATCTGTTTCTTTTCCATTTTGGATTCAGTATTTTTTATAGTTATGAAAAGAAACATATGTTGACTGCATGATGGTTGTTTGCTCTGAACTTTGGGAACAATAACAAAGGATACTAGGCGTGCGATGGCTGGGAAAATATGGCAGTTTAACTAATTTGAGTGGATTCTTATCGTGATGTGTATGAATTATTTGGTAAAGATGGATTTTTAAATCTGAACAATGATAGTATGGTAGTTTAGCTGTAAAAATTATGAACTCTCTGAAGCATAATCTAATTCTTGGTCAAGAATGATGGGCAAAATTGTTAAGGACTGATCTCATAATATTATATTGTAGTTTAGGAATTTAATTCTGCATATACTTGATTACCAGGAAAGATTTCCCTACTAGTTATGTGCAACCAAAAAAAAAAAAAATTTAATTTTCTTCTTAGATTAAAGTTTTGAATTAGATAATACTTAGATTGATCGTCAGTCAGTGGGAAGGAAGCTCCTTTGTCAGGTCAAGTCTAACTCAGTTTCAAGTTGAATCAATCAATTTAAAATAGTAGACAAAGCTCCCATAAGGTGCTATAGTCTATGATAATGAGAAACTGATATCCGGTGGTTGTCTTTGAATGAATATGATAAAACAAAGGTAATGAATATTTTATTGTGCAATTTATATTCTAGAAGGTTAAAAATGTGAAAATTTCTTTCTTCCGTCCAAACAAATTACATCATTGCTAAACTTTGTCAATGTAGTTCCAAAAACTCTTTGCTATGGTTGTGTGCCTGATCCTCATCTGAATATTTGTCATGTCTTCTGTTGTAATATGCTAAAGGCTTCTATTAAAGAATTTTTGTTCACTAGTTACGGGTACATATTTTGTGATAGAGGGGCAAGGTTGAAACTCAAATGCAGGTGATGTCATTTATAATATTTGTTGGAAAAGAGAACAAATTTACCATGTTACTTCTGGTTTCATTTATTGTGTTTGTACATCTTCAAGCATGAGCATCGTTGGCCAGTAACTTGGATTCTTTCATTGAAATTTTTCTCAGAATTTTGCTTAGTTTATACCCACCCAACCCCCCCGAAAAAAAATAATAATAAATAAATAATTAAGATATTTGCTGGGGGACAGTCTGTCTGCCAGCCTTACAATGATCTCTACTTTACTTTGTACTAGGAAATTGTAAAATCTTAAAAAATCTTTGTAATTAATAACTTGAAATTCTATTTTAAATAATCATTCAATTGATCTGTGTGGAAACAAAAGGCTAATTTTGCATCATCCTTTTGTAGTCTCTATCTGCGGTCATAATTGGTTGTCTTTAATTCGTCTCGCAGGGTTGTTAGGACTGTTGGTTGTCCTGTTCTGGGGTCCCTCTAGAAATTATCTGGTTTGATATATGCATTTATCAGCATATATATCTCGGCCTTTTCTTCTTAACTTATTTATCNTTTTTTTATTTATTTATTTTTTTTGGGGTGGGGGTGGGGAGGGGATAGGGAGTAGGGATGGCTATAGCCTATATAAATAATGTGTGTATGTATATGTATATATGGAGAGGAGCGTGTAAATGTCATCTTCTTTATTGCTTTGTGATAGTGCATGGACCTCCATTCCAATAAACCACTGATTTATTTGATCAATTTATATGATGATCTGTATTTTTTCCTGTCTTTATCAGAAAAAGTAATTTGGGATGGATACTTTTAAATTGATTAATAGGAAAAGAAATTGGCAGCTTCTGTGATTTTTATATATATAGACAAAAGTGGCTAGAAAATGGTCAAGAAATAAGAGTTTGGACAAAGATATGTCGGATTTTTTTACTGTTTGATCATAAGAAATGAAATAAAAAAAGTTTGTTGTTTAGCACAAATCATAATCAACGAACGTTTGAGATTGAAATGCATAGTGTGTATAAGGAGAATATTGCGGAAATTTGATTAAGTCCTTGTTTGACAACTTCTTTTTTTTTTTTTTTTCCTCATAATCATTTTTAATCATAAATTCTCACAATGAAATATTCTTTACGTAAATCAAAAACTTTTTTCTACTATATAACCATATATTCTCCAAAAATTTACTATTCAAAAATTCATTCTTTCCAAAAAACGGTTGTCAAACACGGGCTTATTAGCTCGAAGATGATATTTTCTTGGACTTGTTAGATAATAGAGATTACTTGATAAGTAACAATACTATAAAAATAAAAATAAAATAAAAAACTGAAGAATAAAATATTTGGATTATGATAGAGACTCTCGAACATGAATGGAATAATTATTATAAATATTTCCCAACCCAAATTGTCCCTCGGTTCATTTTCTTTCTTATTATTGGGTAACCTTTGTATAGTTTTTTGCGTACTTGAGAAAAATGGGGTAAAAAAGAAAAAGAAAAAGGTTACTTTGTTTAGATGAAGTTTCTAGTTATTGAACTTTATTTTCATTAGAAAGTGATTATTAAAGTTAGCATTATGCTTTAGTCGTTAGAAAGTGATTATTAAAGTTAGCATTTTGCTTTAGTTTGATCGTATGGTTAAATTTCGTTAGTCTAACATGAAAATCATTTATGTTATTGCCATTTTAAGCGTTGAAATGTTTTGAAAACTAACGGATAGCGACAAAATAAAAAAAAGGTAAACTTCAATGATACTTTAGAACAAAAATAAAGTTTGGGAACTTATATGAAACATTTCTGTAAGTAATGTGTCTAAAATTGTTTCCAAATTAAAAGATAGTCTATGAAAGAGTTTCATATTCTTTTATTCAGCCCATTTAGTGCTATTTTTGTAATATGTCAATTTCGAAATAACAAACACTTCAAATTGCCCAAAAACTGACTGGGCCAATGGCCCAGTGATTTCACCATCTTTACCAGGCGCACACATGGCGTTCGTTAGTGTCCACTGGATATGGCGTCACTTTGCACCGTCATTCCGGCCACCCTCTTCCCCCAGCCTATGGCTGTTCCCGCCAAAAATCCGAACGTTCATGGCACTATTCTGCGCGCCCGTCGACTCTTAATCCCAACAAAAACATTTTCAAGGGCTCTTAATGCAACACAACCTCAGAAATACATCTATCCTGAACCCATCTCAGAATTTGCGGCGGCTGTAAGTCAAAAATTACTCAAGATAGTATTTTTAAATTGTAAATAATGTTCTACTGATTTTTCTTTTTTGTTTATGTGGAAATATGTAGGAAACCCTGAAATTTAGAGCTGAGTTATTGAAGAAACTGTCCAAGGAAAAAGAAACTTTTGGGAATGACCTTCAAACTGTTGTCAACGTCTGTTCAGAGGTAATTATTGGGATTTGTTTTTACTTTGCTTAAACGGAAGCCATGTTTGGTTTGCAGCACTCGACTGTGCTACTAACAATATTTTCTTTTTCCTCGTACGGAATCCTTTCGCTGTAGCTGGTGTCGTAGTGGACTTAGAAGTACCTTTTTTTTTCCTCGCTATAAATGTTGGTGATGAATGATTTGTGTTTGTCTAATGTGAAGCTATCCTATAAAATGTTAGAGCCATTATAATAGAAAGAATTGTATCTTGTCGGAAGTCAGTTCTGTTTAGTAAGACTTTACATGGTCTTTTTTTTTTTTTTTTTTTTTTTCTTTTCACTGGGATTCAATATTTTGATTAGATTACAACATTAAAATTGCAAGCTGAAGTTGAATTAAGAGTATAGATTATTGGGATCAAGCAAACCAAGCTATCACGCATAGAATAGCTAATGGTTGTCCATGTAGGACCTCGCAGTAATGTCTATATTTGAGTTTCAGTAAACAATGGGAAGAAAGCAACTCATAACTCAGTTGAAATTATCGTGTAAGTGGACGATGATAGACAATTTTATATTAAGAATGTTGGATTCTTTCAAGGAGTGGAGAATGATTCGAATAAATAATCTCAAATGCAATGAAACTGGTAGAAATGTAAGCTCAAATCTAACAGGATCCACTGAATTTTTTTGTGCTTTTATAACTCAATTTTGATTAGGCTTCATTATGTATAGCTAGAATTTACTTGCAATTAAAATGTACATTACTGGTCTTGATATTGCTGTTTGGTAATCTTGACTGCATTGGCCTTTGAATGGCTGACTAAAATGTATGATTTATGGGGTTACTAACGTATGGAATAGTGTAAAATGATGCTTCTATTCTATTCTCAATGCTAAGGCATGCCCATGTGTTTCTTTTCCATTTTGGATTCAGTGTTTTTTATAGTTGTGAAAAGAAACATATGTTGACTGCATGATGGTTGGTTGCTCCGAACTTTGAGAACAATAACAAAGGATACTAGGCGTGCAATGGTTGGGAAAATATGGCAGTTGAACTAATTTGAGTGGATTCTTATCGTGATGTGTATGAATTATTTGTTAAAGATGGATTTTTAAATCCGAACAATGATAGTATGGTAGTCTAGCTGTAAAAATTATGAACCCTCTGAAATATAATCTAATTCTTGGTCAAGAATGATGGGCAAAATTGTTAAGGACTGATCTCATAATATTATATTGTAGTTTAGGAATTTAATTCTGCATATACTTGATTACCAGGAAAGTTTTCCCTACTGGTTATGTGCAACCAAAAAAATAAAAATAAATTAATTTTCTTCTTAGATTAAACTTTTGAATTAGATAATATTTAGATTGATCGTCAGTCAGTGGGAAGGAAACTCCTTTGTCAAGTCAAGTCTAACTCAGTTTCAAGTTGAATCAATCAATTTAAAATAGTAGACAAAGCTCCCATAAGGTGCTATAATCTATGATAATGAGAAACTGATATCCAGTGGTTGTCTTTGAATGAATATGATAAAACAAAGGTAATGAATATTTTATTGTGCAATTTATATTCTAGAAGGTTAAAAATGTGAAAATTTCTTTCTTCCGTCCAAACAAATTACATCATTGCTAAACTTTGTCAATGTAGTTCCAAAAACTCTTTGCTATGGTTGTGTGCCTGATCCTCATCTGAATATTTGTCATGTCTTCTGTTGTAATATGCTAAAGGCTTCTATTAAAGAATTTTTGTTCACTAGTTACGGGTACATATTTTGTGATAGAGGGGCAAGGTTGAAACTCAAATGCAGGTGATGTCATTTATAATATTTGTTGGAAAAGAGAACAAATTTACCATGTTACTTCTGGTTTCATTTATTGTGTTTGTACATCTTCAAGCATGAGTATCGTTGGCCAGTAACTTGGATTCTTTCATTGAAATTTTTCTCAGAATTTTGCTTAGTTTATACCCACCCAACCCCCCCAAAAAAAAAATAATAATAAATAAATAATTAAGATATTTGCTTGGGGACAGTCTGTCTGCCTGCCTTACAATGATCTCTACTTTACTATGTACTAGGAAATTGTAAAATCTTAAAAAATCTTTGTAATTAATAACTTGAAATTCTATTTTAAATAATCATTCAATTGATCTGTGTGGAAACAAAAGGCTAATTTTGCATCATCCTTTTGTAGTCTCTATCTGCGGTCATATTTGGTTGTCTTTAATTCGTCTCGCAGGGTTGTTAGGAATGTTGGTTGTCCTGTTCGGGGTCCCTCTAGAAATTATCTGGTTTGATATATGCATTTATCAGCATATATATCTCGGCCTTTTCTTCTTAACTTATTTATCATACTTTTGCTTATTGTAATCTGTACTGCTGATGTTCTTAGAAATAATTGAAATCAAAGAAATATGTGTTCCTTTGGGATTTTAATGTGTCCCTGATGTGGAAATAGTTTGTTTGCCTATTGGAGCAACTATCTTATATTACTAAAGATAAAGGAACAATATCCCACACAGCCTACCATTTTAACATTCTGTTATGTCTCAATCCTTTTAAATAAATGGTCCAAATAAAATGAATTTAACACGGTTGTTTAAAATCTATGGTAACAGATATTCAATGAATTCTTGCATCAAGAGTATGGGGGACCTGGGACTCTATTGATAGAGCCTTTTACAGATATGATGATTGTTCTTGAGGAGAAAAAACTCCCCGGAGCACCATTGGCTGCTCGAACTTCCTTGTTATGGGCACAAAATTACATTGATCAGGACTGGGACAGTTGGATCTCCAAATAGTATCTTCTTTGCAAAATCCATCAGTAAAACGAGGAAACTATGGTGGTTGTTTGCTATTTCATATGAAAATACTGGAGTCGAGAATTTTATTTAGGAATTCTATTTTTTTCCCATACAAAGGTGTAATTAGTTGTAACACGGTGTATATCAAGTTCGAGACAAGTAATTGACTGTGCTGTAGAATGTCAATAATCTTCTGTGGTTTTACTATATCTCTGTTCCAGGCGTGAAAATCCTCTTAATGAATAGAATGTGACGACTCTGAAATGCTTTGTAGAGATGGGCGCCAGGATTTGGTCCGTCCAGTGAAGTTCATTGATCCTGATGGCCTTGGCTGATGTCTGTCATGTCTCATGGCCTGAATTGTCAATTTATTCATAAGTAACCTTAAGCAGGTAATCAAAAATTCCTTCTCGAAGTGTATTAATTTCATTATAGCATTTTTTTTCCCTCTCAATTGTGGAAAATAATTTTCGTTTTTCCTTGTCAGATTTGTTGTTATTTAGTAGTTTACTGCTTTCTGTGTACAAGTCACCATACTCTCGTCTTTATGTTTCTTGCATCTATAATGCTATGCAAAAGAGAATCAATACTTAACAAATATTTACAAAATTACTGCAAAAAAATGCTTATTAACCTGATCGTTCTTCTCCGATGCATGTTTTCGAGTTTCTGGCTCTTGACTGGAAAGCTGATTGTCTAAAACAACAGACAACTGCTCACCAGATTTGGGTTGGTTTTCCTTCATCTTTTCTTTTCCTTCATCTTTTCTTACTTTTTTGCTTTCAGCACTTTAATTACATCTATATGTCGAAAAGCATAATGTAAAACTTCCATATAAACCGCAAAATCACAAGAACTATTCATAAACACATGTAAACTCGAACAATTAACTAACCTTGTGAGGTGATAAGTCGATAAGCCTGGCCAAGAACTAAAGTATCAGTAGGCCGGAGAAGCTTAACGCGCGTAAAATGTGCAGTCTTTTCATCGGATTTCACTTCACTGGAGACTGGCAACGGAATTATCAAGGAAACATAATGTCCCGGATTCATTTTCATCACCTCACTAGCCGTTACTGGCCGGTACATTCTCTCTAATTTTCCTCCTGGGTGTTGTTTTTCAAGTACTGCAGCATCTACAGCTTGACAATTCCCCATCTATTTCTAATTCTCTCTCTAAGGTATTTCCGATTCTCTCTCTAGAAATGATTATGAACAATAGAAGCAGACGACGAAAATAAGAGATTAGGGGAATTCACCAGCCTTCAAGGTGGTAAAATAAGTCTCGCTCAAAAATAAGCTGTCCCTCCTTTCCCAAATATGGTACTTATAATTTAGATTTGTAAAAAACATTAATTTCGTCAACTTGTATATAATAACGGTGATTAGGAACAGGATTAATATGTGCAAATCATTGAAGTTAACGTTGATACCAATTGTTGCCGGCTGGATTGGCTGGATACTGGTGAAATGATCACGTGGGAAGATAGTGGATTTTGGCGGGTTTTGCTCAGCCATATCGACCAAATCAAGATTTAGTCCCTGTTTGTTTCTCATTATTTGTCCATTAAAATAAAAAATATGATCATTATCCATCACATAAAGTCATTATATTTGACTTTCTATCTTCTGTGTGGGGCCCGCAATGACTATACGTTTCATTTTGATTTATTTATGTGTACCAATAGCTTTGGATTTTTACTTACTTTTGTAGTTGAAGTTATAAATTCTTGGTTTTTTTATTCGATGAAGATTTATATTAATAGTTTGAATTTTTAGATGAATTGATTGAATATAGTATCAAGTTAAGTGATCATTTCGAATTTGAGTACAAATTTGTCGTACTCTTCGTGTTGTCTCGTTGGTTATTATTTACATTTTTAGATTGAGTGATTTTGATATGGTATCAAATTTGGTGAACATCTTAAATTCAAGCCCATTTTGTTGTCTCATTTGGCTATCTCGTTGTCCCATGATCACCAAATGTTATTTCGTTTGAAAGTTGTAGTTGTAATTCAATTTTGTTGTGTCAAATTTCGATTAGTTTTTTAACGGAGTAATGTAATGTGAAAAACTTAGATGTTTATCTTTAGCAAACAATATGAAATTTATTCGATCACTTTTAAACAAAATAAAGTTATGTGATGAACAAGAAACTCATAGTTCATTCGTCTGTAAATTTAGTATGAGCTATAGAGCTATAATACAATCAAAACCGAACAAGGAAAAATGTTCTTGTTTAAATAAAATCTTAAAATTTTAACTAATTAGTGAATTTTGATTGATTTAAATTTTAGATAAATTTGAAGAAAAATAAGACAAGTCGTTGGACAATATTTTTATCCAGTTAAAGCTAATATGAAGTTAGTTTTGTCAAACGCCGGCCAAATAAATATCAGCAAGATTTTTCCATTTTTCCTAGGATTTTAAAGTTTCTATAGTATGTCTTTATTAGTTATCACTCCTCTTTTTATACTAATAATATATGAATATAGAATGTCCTTCAAGGGGTAGTCGAGTTGGTAGAGTAGGTAAGCATGGATATCTTCGATCACGAGTTCGATTTTTCCTATCAACACTTTTTCGATCGAGCTTGTTGTAAGGGCTTGCCTAGTGTGATTTACCTGGCTAGCGTGATTTGCAGACTATTAGGTCAGCACAAGGGTTTATTCAATACACACTCGAAGATTAGCGGCTGCTAGTTTTCCGTCATCAAATATATATATATATATATATATATATATATATAATACACTTATAATTGTATTTTATTCAGTTTATTACGAAGTATTAAACATCAATATACAACTTTAACAAGCGTGAAAATAAAGCTCCAATATGATTAGTGTAATCCAAAAAGTCGCGTATTTTATTATTGAGAAGTTCCACTTTATTAAAATGCTTCCATTAAGCCTTTTTTTTTTTTTTAAATATTGATGTGAAATATTAATTAATAATAACCAATGTAACGTCATTATAATACTATAAATTATAAATATGACTGCCGGTCACAACTCACTCCACATTATTTAGTTTGGCGCTAGTAGCAAAATACAAGAGAACTTAAATTTTTATTATAAAAATTAAATATTGTCGGAGTTATTTATGATTTGTCTCTCATTTTTTTAGCATTCCTAAATATTGGAGGTTGGTATAGGAAGTTCGTAAGTTGGGAGTGAAATGGTATTATGGATTATCTCTTAAGTCCTATTTACCACATTAGTACACAAAACGATCTAAAGTGCACGAATCACTACTATATAAAAAGGGGAATGGTAAGGTACTATAGTTAGGAACAGTAAATTCTTTTATTTTATCATACTGTAACAATTTTTCTTTTCATCATGGAAGCAAAAACCACATCCTGTTGTCTTCAGTCATTTTCGTGATTGATACAGTGACATTTTACTTCACTAGAGAAAATCCCCCCAAAAGTCACTAAACTTTGCCAAAATGACCTAGGAGGTCACCGAACTTCAAAAAGTCTCTAAACAGTCACTGAACTTTGCCGAAATTCCCCCCCAGAAGTCACCGAACTTCAGAAAGTCCCTAAATGGTCACTGAACTTTGCAAGAGGTCACCCAACTTTGCAAATTTAGGGCCTCATACATCATTAGTTGATTGACCTCCTAGGGACCTCTTACAAAGTTCAGTGACCATTTAGAGACTTTTTGAAGTTCAGTGACTTCTGGGGAGACTTCAACAAAGCTCAGTGACTGTTTAGGGATTTTTTGAAGTTCGATGACCTCCTAGGGCATTTTGGCAAAGTTCAGTGACCTTTGGGGGGATTTCCTCACTTCACTACCATATAAGAGAGGAATGAGGAGTTGGAGCTATATATATATTTTTTGCCTTTTATTATATCTCTATTAATTTCCATTTCATTTTTTTTAATTCTTTTTTACCCTGGATTTACAGTTCACTCAGTATTCATATCTAAAGTGTTTAGTTGCATTTTATCTCACTATATATATCTATATATATTGCCTTTTATTATGTTCTATTAATTTTCATTTCTTTTTTTTTTTTAATCCATTTTTACTTGTATTTATAGTGCAAAACGATATCGTTTCCTTACGTTAAATGGCAAAACGATGCCTTTTTCATTTATTAATACGATAAAGGATTGAATATATCTTATACATAATTATTAAATAATTAATAATAATTAAATTTCAATCAATGTATGTTATATTCACTCATTACCTTTGTGTTTCAGGTTAAATTTTGTTTTCCAAAAATGGAAAAAATTAAGATAATAATTAAAATTGAGAGTCCTAATTTTAAGAATTATCCTTCTCAACTTTGCATCTAGATGGTATTCTATCCTTCAAAAATTCAAATGTTAAAACATTGATCAAGAGATAATGTAATAAAGTATAATCTCAAAAAATTAAGCGAACTAAATTATAACTCTCATTTTATACCAATACTAATAAAAAAAATAATTTAACAAATTAAAGAACAAAAAAAAAAGAATTCTAGACGAAAAAAAATTATTATAAAGTTTTTTAATTAAATTGAAATAATTAAAATTAAAAATAAATATTATTTAATAACTTTGCCAAAATGCCCTAGGAGGTCACCGGATTTCAAAAAGTCCCTAAACAGTCATTGAACTTTGTCGAAGTCCCCCCCAGAAGTCACCGAACTTCAGAAAGTCCCTAAATGGTCACTGAACTTTGCAAGAGGTCCCTAGGAGGTCACTCAACTAATGATGTATGAGGCCCTAAATTTGCAAAGTTGGGTGACCTCCTAGTGACCTCTTGTAAAGTTCAGTGACCATTTAAGGACTTTCAGAAGTTCGGTGACTTTTGGAGGGACTTTGGCAAAGTTCAGTGACTGTTTAGGGACTTTTTGAAGTTCGGTGACCTCCTAGGGAATTTTGGAAAAGTTTAGTGACCTTTGGGGGGATTTCCTCACTTCACTACCATATAAGAGAGGAATGAGGAGTTGGAGCTATATATATATTTTTTGCCTTTTATTATATCTCTATTAATTTCCATTTCCTTTTTTTTATTCCTTTTTACCCTGGATTTACAGTTCACTCAATATTCATATGTAAAGTGTTTAGTTGCATTTTATCTCACTATATATATCTATATATATTGCCTTTTATTATGTTCCTATTAATTTTCATTTATTTATTTTTTTATCCATTTTTACTTGCATTTATAGTGTGAAACAATATCGTTTCCTTACGTTTAATGGCAAAATTGTGCCTTTTTCATTTATTAATACGATAAAGGATTGAATATATCATACATAATTATAGAAAAATATTAAATAATTAATAATAATTAAATCTCAATCAACGTATGTTATATTCACTCATTACCTTCGTGTTTCAGGTTAAATTTTGTTTTCCAAAAATGGAAAAAATCAAGATAATAATTAAAATTGAGAGTCCTAATTTTAAGAATTATCCTCTCAACTCTGTATCTAGATGATATTCTATTCTTTAAAAATTCAAATGTTAAAACATTGATAAAGAGATAATGTAATAAAGCATAATATCAAAAAATTAAGTGAACTGAATTATAACTCTCATTTTATACCAATACGAATAAAAAAAAAATAATTTAACAAATTAAAGAACAAAAAAAAAAGAATTCTAGACGAAAAAAAATTATTATAAAGTTTTTTAATTAAATTGAAATAATTAAAATTAAAAATAAATATTATTTAATTAAAATTGAAAAAAATACGTTTTATCATAAAACAAAAAGAATTTTAAATAGAAAAAAAAAGTTATTTATAGTATAAAGAAAAAAAATTAAAACAATTTTCAAAAAAATAATAATAAAAACAAAATAAAGTTACAAACATTAAATAAAGAATATATAAATATTATTTAATTAAAATTGAAAAAATTAAATTTTATCATAAAGAGAAAAGAATTAAAAAAATTTAAATCGAAAAAAATATTTATAATATAAAAAATAAATAAATAAATAAATACGGAAAAAACAAAAAAAACGAAAAAGAAATCTCCGTGTTGCACGGAGATCACTTCTCCATGGTGATCATCTTGGAGAAGTGATCTCTATGATGGATCCACTATGAACATATTATTAATAATATGAACATGATGGAGATCACTTCTTCATCCATGATGGAGAACACATCTCGTGGAGATGTGATTTCCATACAGCACGGAGAGCATGGAGATGTCCTTTTTGTTTTTCGTTTTCTTCTTCATTTATTTTTTTATTTGTTTTGTTCATATTATAAATAATTTTTTTTCGATTTAAAATTCTTTTCTCTTTATGATAAAACTTAACTGTTTTCAATTTTAATTAAAAAATATTTATATATTTTTTATTTAATTTTCGTAACTTTCTTTTGTTTAATTTGTTTTGTTTTAAAATTTCTTTTTTCTTCATATTATAAATAATTTTTTGTCCAATTTAAAATTCTTTTTAATTCTTTTCGTTTTATGATAAAGAGTAATTTTTTAATTTTAATTAAATAATATTTATTTTTAATTTTAATGATTTCAGTTTAATTAAAAAAAATTATAATAACTTTTTTTTAAAATTTTTGCTTGCAATTCTTTTTTTTTTTGTTCTTTAATTTGTTCAATCTTTTAGGTTTTTATTATTTTTAGTGTAAAATGATAATTACAATTCGGTTCGTTTAATTTTTTAAAATTATGCTTTATTCCATTATCTCTTGTTCAGTATTCTAATATTTGAATTTTTGCAAGATGAAATATCATCTAGATGCGGAGTTGATGCACTAGGGCCTACTACTATGTCGACCTTATTATGAAGATCGATCGGTTATTGGACAAATAAACCATTGTTTGGTGGAAATTAAAATCTAAATTTTAATATAAGGCAAAGTGAATAATTAATTTTAATCACATATTTCATGGGATAAGATATTGAATTCGTAAGTGTATGGCTACGGGTTGGAGATAAAAGTAAAATAAAGTCCACAACTTTTCAACCACACAATTTATCAATTTTAAAATCTGATGTTAATCTCCATCAAACAGTGGTTTAAGTGTTCAATGATTCAATTTACACAGAACAACAAATGAAAAATAACAAATGCAAACATGTCGGACCACTTGTGTTGGATTTTATTCAAAGACTATAATTTAGGTAATACAACAAGAATTAAGTTGGTTTGTCAAATTTTTTTTGCCATTTTGGTTGACATCCTTTCACATATGTGTGGGTCACGCATGAATAAAAAGTTCCAAAAAAAAAAAAACCAAGTGAACCCTCAATTGTGAGTATCAATCAGATTGCATGTCAATCATTTTCTGGCTACATAGCATGGTTCTAGAAACCCTAAATCTTACATGAAGATCTTTGACTCTTTTGATTCAAATACACCTTAAACTATTAAAAAGCCCTAGGTTTTGATGAGATCTGCAACTATATATACGTGTATATACACCTGTAATTACTATCATGTGAGGTGTTGACGATCTTTGCTTCAACAATGTATATTATAATATGAAATAATATTTTTCATAACTTTTTTACTGGCAGCATTTAATTAATAATTAAATTATGAAGGTCTTGGTTTTCTACTATATGGACAAGTTGTATATACGATGGGGCTAACATTTGTAAGGACATGAATGTTTGTTTGTTGAATCAAAACATTAATTTCTTGGTTTACACATGAACCGATGTCTAGTTTAAGATATGTTTAACTGTTGATTTCTACTCATTCTTTTTTCAATAATAAAATTAAAGAAAAACATTTTGTAGTGCATCTTAAAGAATGTCCATATGCATAAGAATTAATAATTTGAATTGTTTAAGATTATAGCGACTGCGAAGAAAGAAGAGTGGACAATTAGAGTTCCATCTTTCTTACGCATGGTACTACCCAACACTTAGTACATATAAATTTCTAGTAAATTCTGTAATTAATTATCAAATTAGTAGCTTTAGAACTTGTTTGGCATGTCTTTTACTTCTTGTAGAAGAAATTTTGAAGGAAGTTATCTTAATTTTGCTCAGAAACCAATTTTTAAAAACATTTCCTATTTCTAAACTCGAAAGTATATTTAGAGGAAGACATATTGGACCATCTTCATCTGAAAACTCTTCTAACTACCAAAAGTGCTTTCATAAAATTAGTTAAACGGATCTAGAGTAGCTTTTGAATTTCAAAAGGTTTTTTTTTTTTTTACTTCTCAAAAACCATGTCAAATGGGCCATGAAATATCTGCTCGGAACATTTTAAGCTAGATACAATCGACAAGCTCTCATTTATAAGCAATGGATATTTATGGATATTTCTCTCTGTTCTATCCTAAAACACAAGATAAAGGATATAGAAAATTAAACGTAACACTATAGATTAGGTAGAAGCTGTTTACTAAATTAATGAATCTAGTACTATAGTGGTCTTTCTTGCCCCCTAAGTTTTCATGTCATTGACATCTCTGTCTAATTCAATTTGAATGTTTGTCTTTTAATTTGTCTTTATCAGACCATAATTTTTTATTGTATCTTCTGTAATAATTTTCCCCACTACTTTTGTTGGTATTCCTAGGGCCAAAGATCTTTTGTTGGTTTGGAAAAATGCCTGCTTTATTTCATGAAATGGGACTTTTTATTTTGTTTCCATAGTTAGTTTGAAAGAATGCCAATACAGAATAAAAAAACGTTAATTATGATATGCATGAATCTGCTATTGGAAAAAATGAGTGATTTGTGTTTAGATTATCGATTAACATAATATGTATAAATAATATAATTCAACAATAAATATAAAACTCAATATAACATAAAATGAGCAGAGATTTAGAAAGCAAGCTTTAAAGAGTTATGTCAAGGAGTTGTTCTAAAGTTATGTTGACTCTCCACTGCATGGGTACTTTCAATAGTACACTGTTTCAAGATAAAACTCATGTGGCCCACAGTCGATTCTCCTTCTATGAGTATGATTATAAAGGATAAAGAACGAGCCTTTATCAAATTGTCAAATTAATAGAAATATAATATGAAATATAGAGATAGTATTTAAGTTATATCTAAAGTTATGTTTTCTTGTATTTTATATCTCAATAAAAATCACCCCCTTTTGTAGGGATAAATTTAACCTCCACAATCATGAACATTAATCCAGTTAAAATGTGAGTTACACGCTAGGAATTATAAGTTTTAATTTTGTATTAAACTGGAAATCAAAAGCAAACAATTAAAAGGTTTTAATTTGAAAGGTTAAAATTTTTAGTCTTAATTTACAACAATCTTCCACAAGTTTCAAACTTGCAAAATAAATAAATAAATATAATATATATAGTGGCAATATTGTACTGTGTAATAACTGTAGGTGTCTTTTGGATTTGAAACTCGCTTAGTGATAATAATTTACACTTGAGGGAGCCATAATTGATTAAGCCTCGCATTAGGTCTCTTTGACTAAATTTCAATCACACACAATATCAATTTAAGCTCTAGTTCATAAAGGATAACACTTTTAATGGCCATGCGTTGTAATCTTGATTTTAGAAAGAGTCTCTAATGAGTCCTCCAAGGACGAATGTGACTCATACCTTGCTAGAATTCTCTCTTTAGTGCTCATTCATGCCTAAACCCTTCATAATATCATATCATTGTTAGCACTATCACAAGTAAAATAATGTTATTACAAGTGATGCAGTTTAGGTTGTTTCTATCACATTGAATTTTCTTATAGGACTCCAATTACAAAGGTTGAGTTATTCCTGGAGATGACTCCCTTACGATTATCATAAGCCTCACGGATGGAATGACAATCTATTTCAATGTGTTTAGTGCACTCATGAAATATAGGATTAACAACAATTTGAAAGGCACTAGTGTTGTCAGCATCAGGAAAAGTAGGTTCAAGCGGAGGATAGCCAAGCTCCGCTAGGAGACCTCGTAGCCAAACTATCTTAGACAAAAGACATGGCACGATACTCAGATTCAATGGAAGATTTAGAGACATGATCCTGTTTCTTACTTTACCAAGAAATAATTACATCCTAAGAAACATACACCAACCTGTAATCGAACAACGAGTATCTGTACAGCCAGCCCAATTCGCATCATTGTAATCTACCAACTCAAGAGAAGAATTGACGGGAAATAAAATACCTCAATTAGATGTACCTAGCAAGTACCGATAGTGCGTTGTACCGCAGCCAAGTGGAGATATCGTGGAGTATGCATAAAATGACAAACTTGCTATACGACAAAGAAATATTGGGTCAAGTAATAATGAGATAATTCAAGCTATCCACTAGCTAACGATATAGAGAGGGATCAGGAAGAAAGTCACCCTCATTATTGCGATATTTCACATTCACCTCTAGCGGCTTGTCAACAAATTGACCATCCTGAAGTCCAATCAAAGTAATCAACTCCTCCGTATACTTATGATGATGTAAGAAAGTTCCTGCTGGACTGAAAAGCACATCGAGACTTACGAAATACTGCAAGTACCCGAATCTTTCGTATATAAAGAATCCTTCAATCGATTTTGAAGATAAAATATTAATATAAAATCACTCATGATAATAAAAATATCATCCACATGGACCAAAAGTAGCACAGTACTCGCCTTGGTACCAGAGACAAAGATAGACGAATTATATTTACTCTGGGTAAATGAGAAACCTAAGAGAGTGGAGCAAAACTTTGCAAACCAAGCATGAGGAACAGGCTTCTACCCGTAAAGTGAGCACCTTAGCTTACGCACATTGGAAGATGGCAACGAAAATAGGCCCGTAGGGAGTGTCATATAAATTTCTTCCTTTAGGTCACCATGTGAGAAAGCATTCTTAACATCTATTTCTCGTAAAGACCATCCTCTGGAGGCAACTACATCAACTAAACTTTATAGGGCTCTGGCGATCCATCATAGTAGAACTTACTTGAATAAACCCATTTACTCCCACTAGGTTTGATCCCAGGAGGGCAATGAACAAATCTCATGTGTGGTTCTCTTGAAGAGCTCGAAGTTCCTTTCTCCCAACAAAGCAAGATAACAATTTGAGAATAAGAGGTAAGAACTTTGAAAGAAGATAAGATTGCAGAAAAACAATGCCAATCAGAAATAAGTGGATCGTCGAAGAGTAAAAAAGTCTGGGATAGGATCGTGATCGGGATCCGGAAGGGGCAGCAGAGCTAGAGGCCGTCGTCTCTAATATATCACACCTAGTTTAAAATGCTCGATAGGATGGAATAATATTTTACTGCTGAAACACGAAAGAATTGAAATCTTATATCAAAATACTATGTATGAATGGTATGAACTGGCTCAACAAGAATTCTTGAACAACGAACAACCAATTCAGATATTCACGAGCAAAAAGTACTAAATTCTCTTTCGGATAGACCTTGAAAAGAGAAGGAATGCCTTCAAAGTGAATGAGCGGAGCCAAATCAGAAGATTACATGTGTCATTGGAAGTAATATTGATTCTCAAAGAAAATCACATTGCGAGAGAAGCGAAAGCAATTAGCAACGTCATCATAACAAACAAAATCATTTTTGGCAATGCTGTAACCCATGAAAGAATAGCCTGTGGATTGAGTCGCAAGCTTATATCGTTCATGTGGAGGCAAATGGACGAAACAAACACAACCAAAAGTATGCAACATGTCATAGCTATGACGTGTTTCGTATAGGCGAAAATATGGAAGTCGAAATCCAAATGCTGAGCTGAAAGTTGATTAATCAAATGTACAGTGGTGGATAGTGCTTCAACCTAGAATTTAGGCGAAATCGAAGATTTCAAGAGCTAACTCTGACAACGTCCAAAAGTGACGATTTATTCTTTTAGCCATTCCATTATGTTGAGGAGTATATTAGGAAAAACGTTAGGAAAGAATACCCTTTTGTTGTAAGAAACGTTTGGCACTTATGAGACATATATTCATCACCATTGTTGGACCTCATAATTCAAATCCTGGAAGAAGATTGTGTTTCAATATAAGCTACAAAAGTCTGAAAAATCGGTCCTACCTCCCTTTTAGAATGGAGAAAATATATTTAAGTGAAACGATTGAAATAATCAATAAACGTCACAAAATACTTATAATGAACATGTGAAGTGACAAGTGCCACACCCCAAACATCACTATGAATAATCTTAAAACATTTATTAGCATGGCTCCCATGAGTTGAAAATGAATTCTTCTTACTTTTTTTTTTTCAAGTTTACAAGCATCACAATTGAAAGATTAATTAAAAAAATAAAGTTTTATCTTTATTGCCCATAAAATCACATTTTAACAAATGAGAAAAAAAATAAAGCATTGGGATGACCCAACCGTTTATGCCAAAGTTTATGTTTAAGTCCAACATCAATATAAGCTAACGACGTAGCAATAGGAATAGTAAATTCTAATGGGAACAATCGTCCGACTTTAGGCTCCTTCACATCACCTTCTCCGATCCCTAATGATGCACAAGAGAAACACACATCAAAGTTATTATCAACTAATTAGCCGATCGAAATCTAGTTAAAAAATAAGCTTGGAGAGACAAAAAGACACATTATCAAAAAAAAAAAAAA